TCTTCATACGGCTTAACCTTCAGCCGCATTGGCTTCGGGTGAGGCGGATTTGCTTCCGCCGCCGGAGCCTGCAGGTTCTCCCCCACATGCGCGATGAGGCCCTGCTCGTACGCGTCGAACGCATTGACGTGCTCGAGCTGCTCGGCCGGTGTTGACACCACCAGGCTCTGCAGGGCCTCCATCCCGAAGATGTCTGCCATCTTCCGAACCGACTCGAGCTGAGAGTCGTTCATATGGGATAAGTCGTTCCTATCCATGGCAACGAGCTTCGGAGAGGTTCAGGTAGTCTACCCGCGGTGGCGTGAATTGACTACGAGTGCTACCAAGTGTGACGGGTCACACAGCACCTTGCGCTAGAGGAAGTTATCTTCCGAGAGTTTACAAACTCTCAGTGAACGGCAGTTCACAGGTCCCCTCTTTATTCAAAAGAGAGCGAAGTGACCAAATTAAGGTAGAATGTAAACTGAGTATATTTGTAGGTAGATAAAGCTTGGGTTTAATAAGCTACCTATAGAATTGCAATGTCATTAACCCCTTAGTTCCCGGCCTCAAATATGAGGGTATATTTTGACCTCGTCCCATATACAGATATAAAGGAATTTGTATGGGGTTTCAATTAAGTCCGGATATCTTGGCGCGGGTTCGGGGTGGTAACAACGACTTGCCAGTGTGTATAGTACGGATTCTCCAACATAAAGGAGGGTTTATGTAGTACATTGAGACGATCATATACAACTATGCTGTATAAATAAACATAAGATATGTACTGTTTATTGATTAGCCTATCTTTGTGCTGTTGCATACGTCCAGCAGCGGTGAGTTCATTTATTATAGCCAATAACAAGAAAGATCAAGTGCCGTATCAATTGATTGCTCCTTGCATAGACATGTACGACCAGACGGCGCAACCACTACGCCTCCTCCTCCACCGCTTCATCATCTTCTTCGCTCGACTCCCCAGCACCAGCACCAGCACTTGCTCCGCTCTCGCCTACCTGCTGTCTGCGTCTCCGCTTCTTGCCTGGCCGCGACGCTGGCGGTCGTTCACGTGTCCTGTGCTCTTGCAGTAGGTCGCGCGGGATATCGTTGCCGTTGTTCCAATCAGCATGCCAAATGCTGAAGCACGTACTGACCCTGCCTTCACGCGGAACGTTGCATAGATATTTACTAAATCAAAACGAGTTAGCCAAAGCTTACGGTAAGGGTACCAAGCGAGCTACGCACCGTTTGTTCCCGTTCGAGCACTCCGGGCAGAAGTATTTCGTAAACTTGCGAAGCTTGACCTTGTAGATGGCACATACTTTGCATGATCGGTGGCGTCGCTTCACACCCTGCTCGCAATCGACAGTATCTGGGTTTTCTTCTAAACAATGTCCGTCGATAGCTGACGATGCGCTTCCTTGTAGCTGTGTTGAATCTGCTCTTGCCGGCGAAGGGGCAGTTCTATCTTGCGCAGATGTCGCTTGCTGTTCCAATACAGTCAAGCCCACCATAAGTTAGTTGTTATGTTGGAAGGCTGCTGAAGCAGATGAGGTTATGTTGACTGGTCAACATTTGACTTACCTCAATCTCGTCAAACGCTTCGATTGAATCTACTGACAGTAGCTGCTCCATCAATTCCTCAAAAAACGAGAAGTGTTCTGGCGGGCTCCTGTTGTTTACCTTTCGATAGTGTCGATGAACGATAAACGCGTTCACGAGCGCCATATCCAGAAGCTTCAGAAACAGAGTCTTGTAGTACTTGCGTGTTTTGTAGCAAAGTTGCACGCTGTAACGTTGCAACCGGAGTTGATCATGGACGTCGACTCCACTCATCCAGCGGTGGTAGTCGCGAACAAGCTCTGGAGCCGGCACCGGCGTCATTTCTCCGTGGATGCGTCTCACTAGAATACAAATACAATTAGTGCTAACACCCAAATGGGAACCCAATGCATGTAGTACGTACTCACGGTGCCGGTTTGGCGGCTGCCCCCACTTGAGAGCAGGTGCACCGGGTTACGGTCCATCCACATGGCAGCAGTTAGTTGCGGAAACATCTTGTTTTGAGCCAGCTTGATGGTACCTTGCGGAGGCACCAGTACCTCGCGCCTGTTCACCTTTTTTTCTTTTTCGTAGTGATCACTCCAGCAGCGTAACCTGATCTATCCGTCTGTATCGTCCCCGTTAGATACATCCGATAATGAAGCAGCTCCAGCGCCAGCTTGACCGACGTGTAGAAACGGTCGGTGACGACTAATCTCCATGGAGACGTCGGTGACGGAGATAAGAGAGCTTTCATGTTTCGAAGTACAGCCGCTTCTCCAGTGTTGTTATCCTTTAGAACAGGAGTACGTAGATGTGGCTTCGCCCCGCAATAAATCTCAATTCTAGCAGGCAAACACATCAACAGAGACGATTATGTTAATATTATGTTGTATCAACAGATGGCGCAGGATTCTTATGTTGGACAAGTCAACATAAGTACTTAGGCCAAAAAAAAAAGGCAAGCCGAAGCTTGCCTCAAGTTACCTCATGCAGTACGCGGTCTTGGCACACGCAGCAACAAACACCTTCGTCCCCCACTTGTGGGGCTTGTCCTTGTTGAAGATCCTCATGGGATTGTATCGCGAGCGCGAAGGCAGTGTTGCTTCATCGAAGCTGATGACTGGGGGAGCTCTGTATCCACGAGCGAATGTTCGCTGTAGCACATCGAGCACCGGTCGAATCTTCCACGCTCGGTCCGTACGGGCTTGTGGCGACTTGTTGCTCGAAAAGTGTAGATATCCCATGATATGAAAAAGACGATTCTTTCCCATCACGAGACTGAAGCGGTTTGACGGTAGAGCTCCAACTTTCTTCATTGACCAATGCGCTGCAATGCCTTTCCGGATGGGGACCAACATACGTGCAATCAGCAATGCCATAACTTGAAGGACCTCGTAAGTTTGTATTTCTTCAACTGCTGACAACCGCCGTCTGATCTCAGCAAGATCTTCTGCTTCGCCACCACTACGCTGTTGCTGTCTGCGAATTGAGCGGGCCCTCGTAGGGATTGACTGAGTATGATAGCGGTTGCTTTCGACAGCAATTTGGGACCAAAACTTCGGCGGCAGGAAAAAGAAGAGCAATGCCAGCGGATCGTCCCCAAGGCGTAGCACGCTGTCACTTGGTCCGTATGGCCCATCATACAACCCAGCATACGTTGGGTCAGGTCCAAATTTAGTCGCGTCTAGATACAACACACAAGGACAAAAACTATGTTAGCCTTTATGTTAGCTCAGAAACAAAATGAAAGGATTATGTTGGATTGGGCCAACATAACGTACCATACTCCCAGCCATCGGTACGCATTGCAGTGATCAGTGGTGCGTTCTTCGCTGCGGATAACCACGCCGTGTTTGGAAGCTCCTCGATGTCGTGGTCCGAATCTTCATCTGTCAGCTCTCCAATGTCCCAGTCACCGTCCCAACTATCGTCATCAGCATCCTCTTCGTCTTCAGGTTCCTCACGAAGCTCTGGGTCCTCGTCGGAGTTGGCCCGGTGCATTCGTCGGCTCCTTCGTCCATAAAAGTTAGGGTCTGTGTCATAACACACGCAGGTACACTGTGCACAACGTCTGCTTCGTAAACACTCTCGTCTTCGTCACCTTGCATTCTCTGTTCACCATACATCACGTACGCTGGATATTATGTTAGCCATGTTGTCAGCCACAATCCTTCTAGGTTGGATAAACGAACAAAACGCACCGTGTCATCGTCGCCATCGCTGTCTTCTTGTAGGAGAGCGCGGCGATGCTCTCTTGTCGGCACTTGAGTACTACGCTTTCGTTTTTCAGCACTGGAATCAGTAGTAGCTAACGCGATACCAGACTGTTGGGCAGGCAGCGCAGTCTCAACGCTCAAAACCATGTCCGCGACGACTTCTGTCACCTCCGTCTCGTGGTCTGCTTCCACCTCCATCGCATCCGCTATCGCGGTTGTCTCTATCGTCTCCTTCGCTTCAGCAATCGTCTGGTTTCGCGAGCCCTCTTTTTCGCCCGCCGTGTCTGCAACCTGAGCACTTGCTGAAGGAATATACAGACCTTTATACTGCGCCACCTCCATATCTGCCGTTGTGCGCTTGGCAGCCTTCTTCTTTGTCGCCTTCTTCGCCTTCGTCTGCCATGCTCCATCGCTGCCGCTCTTCTGCTCTGTCCGTCGAATGCGGCGCTCGTGACGCTCACTTAGCAGAGCCTCGCGACAGAGGCGCCTTTCTTGCTCGGTGAGCTGGTGACGCGGTGTCTTGGGTGTCGGCGCAACCATGTTGCTATCGGCCGTCGTTTTGAAGAGTGAGGAGGTTGGCGGCTGGTGGCCACTCGCTCGATAGTGGGTGTGTACCTCCCTTTTCTAACTCATTCAACCAAACTAAACCTAAGCCTGTGCATGTGACCGTTTTACACTCATATCAATGACTTCATTTCACTATAGCGGGGAAAGGGGGGATATGGACCGTTGCCCCATACAAAATTCAGGTATAAGATTTGCTTATGTTGGACCTCCAACATAAAATAAAAGGTGCAACAGAAGTGAATTAGGGTATACACCCCTTATGTTGGAAAACATAAAGGAACTAAGGGGTTAACCAATAGCTGGCTTTGAACGACCTTGGTACCTTGTACCGAATATCCCGGAGTATGACGTGTCATACTCCTGAAGTGTGAAGTGTCACACTTCATGTAACCAGGGTACACTTAGGGCTACGTACCCCGTTACATCCTCCCCCACTTAGGTTCGGTTTACCGACCCATCAGAATGAAGAGGTGTTTGTCACAAACTTTCATTGTTGCCAGTGTGTTTTTGGAGAGTGCGAGGCTTCTGAGCTGATCATGTTGCAGTGGTAACGAAAGGGTGGTCAAGAATGCACCTAGTGCGTTGCCGAATCACAGATTGATAATGATGAGAGTTGTCGATTTTTGAAGAAAAAAGCCGAGAAATAAAATATAAAGAGCGGGTTATGATCGACTTATTACCTCAAAGCGAACTCTAGCTGTGAGCGGCTACCACAACCGGGATACGAAGGGATCGCAGGACATTCAATATCATTTGCGCCATTTTTCTCTCTTTTTCGCCGGCTTCCAAATCATCCAGACAAGGGAAATTGTCAAGGAAAAAAACGAATGGCTTCGTCTTGTTTTTGCGGCGCTTTTCGAGAACTGCCCTTACCGCCCACCGTGGTTTTTTATCGGCGTAAAATTTGTCATTTCCGCATAGTGCCGCATAGATGAAACTGTACAGCATCAGACTCTCTGTCCCTTCGACAGACCCATTTCCCACCGCCGTCTCGTCTTGTTCTAGGCACATCTTCAAAGTTGCACTTCGATCTTCAAAAGCAGCAAATACTTGTTGGTTCACCTCGCCTGGACCGCTGCATACCACGTAGAAGAGATCAAATGGCTCAGTGGCCATCAGTTTAAACGCCAGCTGCGTTTTGGCGTCGGCATTCCATGAGTTTTCCAGCAAAACGGACGACGTCGAAAAGCTGAGGAAATGGTTTAAGTCTTCATGGATCCTCATCAGCATATCAGCCACGTCTCTCACTTCTGCGGAATTTCGGCTTTTGCTTGCCATTTCCGCAAATAATTCAAGCTCAGAGGTTTTACGAAGACGAAGACTCCACTCGGGGTAAGCATTTGGAACCACAACTAGCACATGAACGTGGCCATCATCCGGTTGGAATTCCTCCCCAAAGTACCTGGCGCTCTTGATCGCCCGCGTGGGCCGCATTTTCTCCAAGCCTAGCGGATGCCCATGCTCATCGAGCTTCACCGCTGCTGCGCTAGCTTCATTCAGCCACACATTGTCCTTCTTAGCCAGAAATAGCACAAGATCGTGGGCACAACCTGTGACCGTCCAGGGCTTCTTCGCCTGGATAGATTCTTTCAGATAACTCACCGACTCACTTGAGTGTATAGTTACAAAGAACACCCTCTCCTCCAAACCAGCAAACATACAGAATAGCTTCACCATCATCCTCCGTGGCGGAACACTTTGAAAACTGCCCACGAGCTTCGGTCGAAAGGCAAATTCCATCAGATCGCTTGGTCAGCCCAAGACTTTCATTTTCACGGAAAATGCGGCCAATTTCTCACATTGATGGACTTGAGCACCACACGATTGAAATATGATGCTCCGTCCACTTTAAATTTATTCTCGGCGGACGGAACGAATGCGCTTTATTGCACGATATGTGGTGAAGAATTGTCTTCCGCTCAACGACGACGGGTTACTCCATGTTGTGAGATCTATTAGTGAGTTTTTGACTCCGTTCCTCTGTAGCGAGGTCTTCACAGCTGCTTGTGAAGAAGGTGCATCCAGAGACACGCTCGATGTTTTACTTCAGGAGACCACGCCAGTTTGGAAGGAAGCTGTCCAGGCGGCAGTGCGAGGTGGGTATCTTCATGTACTTCGATGGATGATCGCGCAGGGTGAACGCGGTCCTTGGAAAGACGACTTTGAAAGTGCGCTGGAGCTTGCTGCTGCGGGAGGGTATTTAGAAGTTGTCCAGTGGCTGTACGAGCGAGGAATGGACAGACACACCGTGCGGGGGGTTCTGAAATCGCCCGGATACATCGAGAAGAGTCTGCTGTTTGATCATTGCTCGTCAGATGCCCTGGAATTGGCAGCAGAACACGGACATTTAGAAGTGACGAAGTGGATTTATAGCACGAGTACGGATGTGTGTATGCGGCTTGGTAAGCCGATGGACCGAGCTGTTGCAAATGGACATCTCGCAGTCGCACAATGGCTGTACACCATCAGTGGGCAAAGCTGTACATGTAGTATTTTCGCAGTGGATAAAGCAGCTAAAAATGGACAACTTGAAATGTTACAGTGGTTACAGTCAAACCATCTTGTTACGTGTACGACGTTTGCGATGGACGAGGCGGCTAAAAACGGGCACCTGGAAGTAGTGAAATGGCTACACCGACATCGATACGAAGATTGCTCCTCAGTGGCGCTGCATTTCGCTGCGAATAATGGACACCTTGAAGTCGTCAAGTGGCTTTTTGAAAACTTCAAATATTACAGTTGGGATCAATGGTATTGGTCGGATGCAGCTAAACGAGGGCACTTGGAAGCACTTCAATGGCTACATGAACATTTACCGAGTGCGTTCTCCATCCATGTAATGGGTGCCGCTGCGAGAAACGGTCATTTAGATATTATTAAGTGGCTACATGAGCATCGAAGAGAAGGATGCACGACCATGGCACCATTTTATGCAGCTGCGTTTGGTAATTTGGAAATTGTTCAGTGGTTCCATGCACATTACCCGGATCAATTCGTCCCAGAAACGATAGATGCAGCAGCTCAAAATGGCCATCTTGATGTAGTGCGATGGTTAAATGAGAACAGAAACGAAGGTTGTACAGGACATGCAATGGACGGTGCTGCTTGCAATGGCCATCTGGACGTTGTGTTGTACCTGATGGAACACAGAGGCGAAGGGTTTCCAAGTTCTAGCGGGGCAACTCCGCCGAATATTGTGGTGCAATGCTCGCTGAGAAATAGTCGTCAGGACCAAACGAGTGATGCTTCAATAGTCATCCTGCAGTCAATTTACAAGAAGCGGCCGACTTTTGTTGAAGACTGTCTGAGTTGTCTAGCAGAAACTGCTGTCCGTAAAGGCAATATCGAGATTTTAGACTGGCTGAACCTGCTTGGGGTTGAGCTACGCACATCAATTCCTATTCGTGACACAGTCAGTCGAGGAAACGTCAAGATGTTACAGTGGTTTTATGCGAATAATTTCCAGATGTGTGACGTCGACTTACTCGAGTTAGCTGTTCAAAAAGGCCAACTCAATACGGCCCGTTGGCTTTCGGACCACGGGTTCAAGATTACCTCGATATTGTTGGAAGAAGCTGGAAAAAACGGGGATGTGGCAATGTTGCGCTGGCTGGTGGAACATGGACCACCTCTCACGCTCAGAAGTGCTCTGAAATTGACCTTGCAATACCGTCATTTAGAGATTGCGCAGTGGGTATCAGAGTCGGATCGTGTGCAGCTCGTGCTGGAGGCCCTCCAAAAAGATGCTAGAAAGCTAATCTGGTGGATTCTTACGCGTACTCGGTTTGAAGATACAAACTCACAGCGAATAATTCGTGATGCTATCCGATGTGCACATAGCAGCAGTATATCGCAATGGATTCAGGAGGATCTCTCAGGTCTGAAGGCATGCCAGTGGTGTTTTGCGGCGTCACATAGATAGAGAAATAGCACAGAAGTGCCGGTTCTTGTTAAAAGAAGCCGCGTTAGTAATTAATAATGAGGTTTGAGGAACGTGTCGGTTGATTCATGGACCACCCAACAACCGGCCGAAATAAAGGAAGATCTGTCCGCGAGGATTAATAAGCCGGAATCTGGACGCGGTAGATCCTGCGGGAGCTCGAATGTCAGAATCTGTGTGTGTGTGTATTAATACATGCAGTGATACTAAGTATTACACAGGGCATGGGAAATTAAATCTCTTCTTGTACTGCTGAAAAATTTGCTCGATAATATATTCAGATTTCAATAGTAAATAATTCCGTGCAAAAACTACAGTTATTATTGCAGTTAAAATATGTTTTCCTTGTTTTTGAAAGTTTGTGAAATTTTGATTTATTTCTTATTTCAATAGTTGCAGTAATAATAATTCCAAAGCGCCCCATAATCAGATATTCCGTAAATATAACACGCATAATAATGATATTTTATTTTTTTCCCTTGCCCTGAGTGGTATTTTGCATTGATCTTGCGGTGTACTTATTCAAATACTATTAATATTCATCTATGTTTGGGGACGCAGCCGCTCTGGAGTCACTGCAGCTCCCTCGACTGACTGTACGAGACCCGATTGCTGAACGCACTGATAGACAATATACAAAAACAACTGTAATCCCACGTGAAAGGCCAATGTTTCACAAGCTTGTCATTCCAGAATGACGCCCACGATTTATTTCATCACCGGCAAGTGAGTTAGCAACAGCAGCTTCGATTTCCATGGCCAATTGTCCAACGTCCGAGGCGCCACATCTTCTTGGTTGCGTCTCGCTCGATGTCTCGGTTTGCCAAGAAATATTTTGTACAATACAGAGTATGGAAATGACCCCAAAGAGCTAAACTATCACATCTGAAGCCGACTTCAAAGAACTAAACTATCACATCACAAGCCGATTTCAGTAAAAACACTGCAAACTAGTGCATAAATTGAGTTGTACGGGTTATAAGCACTACATTGAATCCACCCGTTTGACCGCTCATTGGCCAAATGAAGATCTGTACGATTGGCTCAATATCGCAAAACCTTTTTCTAAAAGTATCATTTCCAAATCAATACGAATTGCGTCCTTCGCGCCAGAATGAATGGCTTTCAGTACAAGTGCGCCAAGAGCTACCACGTGCTCCCTTTCGGCCAAGTTCTATTCTAGTTCTTCTTCTAATTCCTTCTAGTCTAGAATTGGCCGAAATACTGGTGTGAGGACGCTACGCATTGGTCATTGGACGTTAAAACCAGGGCACGTGAGTAGCCTTTGTATTTGCTTCTACGCTGCTTTCGTTACTCATCTACGCTTCTTCACCTTCAGAGTAATCGCTTGCGCTTGCGGAACCGAATATGCTTCTTCAGGTGGGCGGGAATGGCTGTACCATTGACCCAGGTGTCGTGCCAAATCTGGTCGCATGTAGACTTATTTCCCGTCTTCTTTAGACGAGCACAGTTGCATAGGCCACCGTGAAAGTACGTACAGCGTTGGCAGTAATGGCTGGTTTCGGATCCTTTGGCTCTTGGAGGTGCCATTGCGGGGCACACCTTGCACAGGTGCTGACGGCGTTTCTTCCGATAGAGACTCTCTTCGTTTTGAAGCTGGTGCTCGCTTGAGCGAATTAGGCCTGATACTAAGGCCTCAGCGCTCATGTTGCTGCTAAGGCTTGCCGCAGTAATCACCAAAAGTTACATGTGCAGTCGGCGCATGTATTCCGCGTGGGTCGGCACTCACTGTCCGATTTTCTTCATCTTTATGCGATGGATAATAAAGCCGTTGACCACGGCCATGTCAACGAAGCCTAGCAACAGCTGACGGTAGTATTTCGTGAATGTTACACAGCGCTGTATTGAGTAGCGCTGCAGTCGCAGCTGATCGTGGTAACCGACCCCATCAATACCACTATAATAATGTCGGCGATAATAAGGCGCTTTCCAGGTTGACCGACGAGTGCCTTTGTGACGTTGCGAACAAAAGCTTTCTGGGCGACACCAGTAGCTTGTTGCCTCGAAGCTTTTCGCTGAGCAGGAGGCTGAGCAATCTTGGACTCTACGGACGCACCCATGTAGACTTCAATTCTATAGTAATACGGCATCATACAGAATAACAGAAACAGTAAATCAGCTAATGCTGTTGAATACATAATAAATTATTCTGTAGCATACAGAACAAGAGCACTCACCTCGAAAAGTATCCGGAATTGGCAAAGCCGGTCATATAAACCTTCGTGCCGTACTTGTGCGGCTTGTCTTTGTTGTATAGTCGAAGCGAGTTGAACTTGCTTCTATTAGGAATATTCCCTTCGTCAAAGCTGATGCGTGGCCCGAGTCGGTAACCACACCGGAATGTTTTTGCCAGTGCTAGTCAAGGCTGTCGGTGTGAGAGCGCAGCGAACGCGGCACCAACATTCCGATGACATGGAGTATCTCGTGGGCTTTGATCGGTTTAATTCTCTGAAGCTTCTCTTTCAGAGCTTCCAATGGCTGCACTATTTTGGTAGGGTCCTTTGCTTGAATCTCGAGTTGCTTAGTACGTTGGCTCTTGGCGACACTCGATGCATTTGACACGTTATGCATCCAACTCTTTTGCAATGTGATACCACAGCTTCTTCGGGAGGAAACAAAATAATAGCCCCAGTGGTGAATCAGCGTAGGCCGCCGCTGATCTCGTTGGCCCCCAAGTCCCATCATTCAGATCACCAGCTTCATTCATTTGAAGGTCAGCTGAATTCAGGATCATACAGACTAACACTTGAGTTAGCTTGAAAACATATTGGCTGCAGAA